AAAAAAAAAAAAAAAAAAAGGTCTGAGGAAAGCAGAAACAGAACAAAAAGCAGATTGGTCATTTCAAAGCTACTTTCCCTCTAAAGGTTAAGGCAAAGGGGACTTCATCATGCAAGATAAAACAACTATTTTGGCTAAGCGCAGTGGCTCATGCCTGCAATCCCAGCATTTTGGGAGGCTGAGGCCAGTGGATTATCTGAGGTGGGGAGTTTGAGACCAGCCTGACCAACATGGAGAAACCCCATCTCCACTAAAAATACAAAATTAGCTGAGCATGGTGGTGCATGCCTGTAACCCCAGCTACTCAGGAGGCTGAGGCAGGAGAATTGCTTGAACCCAGGAGGCATAGGTTGCGGTGAGCCAAGATATCGCCATTGCACTCCAGCCTGGGCAACAAGAGTAAAACTCTGTCTCAAAAAAAAAAAAAGACTTTTTGAGAGGATACTGTGTACCAGGAAGACTTATCATCATCCTCCTGATTGTGCCTATCAAGAGGATAATACCAAGAATTTGAAATATGCTTCTTACCCAGAGTCCCCATGAACTAAAGCAACTAAAATCAAACAGTTCTAAGAATGAGCCAGATGAAGAGTCTACCTGTTTTAACCAAGTAGGTGTTAATTTTTAATAACCGAGTCTCTACAATACCTGATATATTTACCTGTGTGCAACAAGAAGTGTCAGCAACTACACAGATTCCTTTCTGTTCAGCTAGTAGGTAATCTAGCATCCCATGACTGAGATAAATTAAGGCAGGAAGTGAGAACAAGTGGATATGAAAGACTTTTTTTTTTTTTTAATATGGAACATTGCACAAATTTGCATGTCATCCTTGTATAGGGGCCATGCCAACCTTCTCTGCATCGTTTCTTAGTATATGTGCTGCTGAAGGTTAGCACTAGAAGTCTTACTTTATAAAACAGACCAAGAGTACAATTTGAACAATAGTTGCATCAGGGATGTTGCTAAAGTTACCCACTGGGTGGAGTAAAGGATTTCTTAGATCATGTACAGATTTAGTTTGGTGGGACAGGTTTGACTTTTTTTTTTTTTTGAGAGAGAGTCTCTTTCTCTCACCCAGGCTGGAGTGCAGTGGCTTGATCTCAGCGCATTGCCACCTCCACCTCCCAGGTTCAAGTGATTCTCCAGCCTCAGCCTCCTGAGCAGGGATTACAGGTGCGTGCCACCAGGCCTGGCTAATTTTTGTATTTTTAGTAGAGACAGGGTTTCACCATGTTGGTCCGTGCTGGTCTCTAAACTCCTGACCTCAAGTGATCCACCTACTTCGGTCTCCCAAAGTGCTGGGATTACAAGCGTGAGCCACCATGTCCAGCCTCAGATTCAACATTTTACCAACTTACCTGCAGAAGCTACTGATAATGAAATTCTATCTAGAGCGTTATTCTGTCAAGCCAAATAGGTAGGCATAAACAAGGAAAAATTAAGAGGGATAAGAGTCTCATTATAATGGAGAGTCTTGCTCCACTATCTTAGAAAAGGCTGTCCACAACATGAAGTCATCAACTTCCCATCTTTTTTGTGAGGTGGAGTCTTGCTCTGTTGCCCAGGCTGGAGTGCAGTGGCACGATCTCAGCTCACTGCAACTCTACCTCTGGGGTTCAAGCAAGTCTCCTGCCTCAGACTTCTGAGTAGTTGGGACTACAGGTATGCGCCACCATGCCTTGCAAATTTTTTTGTATTTTTAGTAGAGACAGGATTTCACCATGTTGGCCAGGCTGGTCTCAAACTCCTGTCCTCAAGTGATTTGCCTGCCTTAGTCTCCCAGAGTTCTGAGACTACGGGTGTAGCCACCGTGCCTGGCCCAACTTCGCATCTTGACTTTCAATTTGACTGTCTCTGGTTATGGCATCAGGCATTTTAGTGAAATCTCTGTGTGGCCCACACATCAATAATGAGACTTGTCCTTTGAAATTAACATTGAGTTGTGCATCTTCAGCTTATAGGGTTTCAGGAACAGATTCATTCTTTTTGTTGTTGTTGTTTTTGTTTTTTGTTTTTTTTAGTAGAGATGGGGTTTTGCCATGTTGGCCAGGCTGGTCTGGAATTCCTGACATCGTGATCTGCCTGCCTTGGCCTCCCAAAGTGGTGGAATTACTGGCATGAGCTACTGTGCCTGGTAGTAGTTCTTATTTTTAGTTAGAGAGTAGTAGACAGATATTGAAGGGCCCTAGAAGAATTCAGGATCTAGTCTAGTCTACAGGTAGATAATAAAAACTTGAGAACCATGAACAGGGTACAATTGAATAACAGGTATACTCTAGCTTTTCTCAGAAACATAGTTTTTCTCTCAATAGCAGTGGTCCCAATTTTTCCATAGACCAGGGTGGGGATGGAGGGGATAGTTTCTGAATGAAACTGTTCTACTTCATATCATCAGGCGTTAGATTCTCATGAGAAGCACAAAACCTAGATCCCTCGCATGTGAAGTTCACAATAGGGTTCCCACTTCTATGAGTTTTTTTGTTTTTTTTTTTTGAGACAGTCTCACTCTGTCACCCAGGCTGGAGTACAGTGGTGCAATCTTGGCTCACTGCAACCTCTGCCTCCCAGGTTCAAGCAATTCTCATGCCTCAGCCTCCTAAATAGCTGAGATTGTAGGTGTGTGCCACCATAACCAGCTAATTTTTTTGCATTTAGTAAAAACAAGTTTTCACCATGTTGGCCAAGCTGGTCTTGAACTACAGACCTCAAGTGATGCACCCACCATGGCCTCCCAAAGTGCTGGGGTTATAGGTGTGAGCCATGGCACCTGGCCTCCTATGAGAATTTAATCCTGCTGCTGATTGACAGGAGGTGGAGATCAGGCAGTAATGCTTGTTTGTCTGCTGCTCACCTCCTGCTGTGTGGCCTGGTTCCTAACAGGGGAACTGGGGACTGGGGACCCCTGCTCTACAGTCACCCCTATTTCTACCAAAGATAACCAGAGTAAAACTAATTTGTTTGCAAAATAAGTTTGGCCTCATCAAACTTGGGCTGTTTGTTTACACAAGCACAGCAAGAATAATAATTGACCACAGAGGCTCTAATAAGGGTTGCTTTGTTGGAACTTTTGATAGGAAATCAAATCCATCAGATTGGATTATTAACAACCTCTTGAGGTTATGAAGCCAAACCAAAGCATACTTCAGATCTTGTCTATAGTACCTATAGACTCATTCTATGTACTTGTCAAATTGTGACATGGTAAAAAAAAAACCCCATAAAACTGCATACCTCAACCATATACCTCAGCTTTCTGTTGAAACTGCTCTCTATAATCCAAATGTGAATAAGTAATTAAGGACTGTAATCGCCACCCTACCCAGACAATGTGTAAACAAATGCTAATCTTGACCACTTAAGTAACAACCAGAATGGCAAAAAGTCCCCTGGCCCTTGGAATGTCCGGAGCCCCTCACCCTCATCTTTGCCCAGGAATCCACTGGAATGTTCAGAACCCCTCACCCTCATCTCTGCCCAGAAGGTGATTTACAGAATCCACTAGCCCTCGGAATGTCTGAAGCCCCTCACCCCCAACCCTGCCCCTCACCCTCACTCCCAAGGTGATTTTTACGGGTATAAAAGGTCTTGACACCCTCCTTTCGGGGCCACGGGTTGGAGAGACGCGAGTCCTCTGTGGCCACCGGCAATAAAGACCCTGCAACCTGGCATACTTATGCCTTGGTGTTGATTTTCTATGCTTGGGCCAGTACAAAAAAATATGGTATTCCAGTATAAAACATAACAAATATTTCCAAGTTTATCCTGAGAAAAGAGCAGATTCTTATTGAACTTAACTATGAAAATAACTATATTGCCATGAAAATAAGAATTTTCATGCATATTTCTAAATTCTGGAGGGACAGGTAGGTACTGAAAATTAATGTTTCAATTTTTGTTCACAAAAGTATACCTTTCCAAATTGCTGTAAGTTATTATAGATAGCTTAAAAGAGAGTTGTCTTAAATCTGGAACACAACAAACCTGCAATATTTCAAATAAAAATGCTGTAAAAACCCGTAATTATTCTTCATCAGTTTATTCAATCCCATGTAATTAATTTTTGTTCTGCTTGATTTTGGTTAGCAGCTCAAGAACGCATTAGTTTCTTCATCAGAGTTCTGGAAACTTCTAGCCATGCCGGTAGTATGATCTTTTTTTTTTTCTTTGTATTTTAGGTTCTGGGGTACATGTGCAGATCATGCAGGGTTGTTGAATAGGTATATACATGGCAATGTGGTTTGCTGCCTCCATCCCCCCGTCACATATATCTGGCATTTCTCCCCATGTTATCCCTCCCCAACCTCCCTCCTGCTGTCCCTCTCCTAGCCATCCCCAACAGACCCCAGTGTGTGATGCTCCCCTCCCTGTGTCCATGTGTTCTGATTGTTCAACAGCCACCTATGAGTGAGAACATGCGGTGTCTGATTTTCTGCTCTTGTGTTAGTTTGCGGAGAATGATGGTTTCCAGATTTATCCATGTCCCTACAAAGGACACAAACTCATCGTTTTTTATGGCTGCATAGTATTCCATAGTGTATATGTGCCACATTTTCCTTGTCCAGTCTATCATTGATGGGCACTTGTGTTGGTTCCAGGCCTTTGCTATTGTAAACAGTGCCGCAATGAACATATGTGTCCATGTGTCTCTGTAATAGAATGATTTATAATCCTTTGGATATATACCCAGTAATTGGATTGCTGGGTCAAATGGAATTTCTATTTCTAGGTCCTTGAGGAATTGCCACACTGTCTTCCACAATGGTTGAACTAATTTACACTCCCACCAACAGGGTGAAAGTGTTCCTATTTCTCCACATCCTCTCCAGCATCAGTTGTCTCCAGATTTTTTAATGATCGCCATTCTAACTGGCATGAGATGGTATCTCAATGTAGTTTTGATTTGCATTTCTCTAATCACCAGTGATGATGAGCATTTTTTCATATGTTTGTTGGCCTTATAAATGTCTTCTTTTGAAAAGTATCTGTTCATATCCTTTGCCCACTTTTTGATGTTTTTTTTTTTTCTTGTAAATCTGTTTTAGTTCTTTGTAGATTTTGGATATTGGCCCTTTGTCAGATGGGTGGATTGCAAAAATATTTTCCCCTTCTTTTGGTTGCCAGTTCACTGTAATTGAGGAAGGAGATCCAGGCATCTAGGATCACCTCCCCCTTGATTTCTACACTGCATTTCAATAGAAAAAAAGGCTACCCAACTGGCACCTCCTGAATCACCTTCCTGTAAATAGCAAGCATGGTTTGGGGGAGTCTCTCTGGAAGATACTGATTTTACTTAAACAAAATCAAATCCCCACCCCACTCCTCCGTCTGGAGACCAGAAACCTTTCACATGTAATTCCTAAAACTGTAAACCCAAGACCCTTCCATCTGTAATTTCTAAGACTGTAAACCCAAGGCCCTTTCATGTATAATTTCTAAGTCTGTAAACCCAAGATCCTTTCACATGTAATATCTAGAGTGTGAGCCTATATAAAGGCAGAGCTTCTCTTTGTTAGCTAAGCTAGGTCATTCGAATAAATCATTGCCTGGCTCCGGCTGTAATAATAGTAATGATAGTAAGCCTCTTCCTTCCCAGTTCAGTGTTCAAGAGGTCTGTTTCTCGAGGCCGATCCTGTTACATTTGGTTCCCTGACCGGGAAGCAAGTTTCGGTTGGCAGATGGCCAGAAAAAGCCTCTCAGGCAGTTTGCCTAGCCCTTTGGAGCATCCCTGCCGGGGACTCCCGCCCACTGGGGTGACCCAGTTCCTGAGAGTGCTCCTGGGCAGGTATTTGCCTGGTGGAAAGCCTCACCTAAGCAGAGCAGGAAAGCCCCGGCAGTGTGGATCCACCCAGTGGCCGGACATCAAGAAAGAATGGGTACTTGGAATGTGCAGACAACA